GTTTATTTGTACTTACTAAAATCTAGAAATCTTAAGATTGTTCCCCAAAAACCTTTAAAAGTTTTTAACAAATGATTAATAAATAATAGTAAATTATATATTGGGAATAATTATTTTATTTCTTACGCGCAAAATCATTTGCTTCAACTGAAACAACTATAAAATCTGAGCGGCACAACCGACACCGGCGTCGGCACAACTCTCCCCAGCGCGGAGTTCAACGTGCCGTGTTGCCTAAATTTTTGAGTTTTAAAGATAAAAAGTGATTTTTTTCATTTGACGTACTGATTGATTTTTTTCAAAAAAATTACACCTTTTGCAGATTTCGATTTTTTCACATAAAATAACTTGGAAATCGCTTTTGTTGATATAATTTCTATTATACACATCATAAAGTATCGTTTAAAAAAAAATCGATTTTTTTTCGGGTCAAACCCGTGTAGAAATTTCCCTACCAGGGCCTTGGTAGTGAATAATAATCTGGTCCCGATCAGGAACTGTTCAGGGCCACGAGAAAATGTGGATTTCCTAATCAGAGACACATCAGGCGCAGCGTCACATTCCCGCCAGATCCGGGCCCGATCCGAGCCATGGCAAAATTTCTACCCGGGAAGGTGTCACACTCCCCCTTAACAGTAAGCCGTTTTCTGTGTATTTAGTGCGGGGTCTTTTAGAGTGTGCCGTGCATGTTGTGCAAGATTGCAGTTCAAACATGTAGCAAGTTTGGTGCAAATAACAAAATGTCCACTTACGGCAAGCTTGCAGGACAACCTTACTGCAAATTTGTAAAACTTAACACTATGCGCAGTTGTGAACGGAAGCTCCAACGGCTGCGCAATAATTTTTTTAACCTCCAAAGCAGGGTGTCCTTTATATTTATTTAGAATTTAATTGTTTCTAAATTTTTTTTAATATTATACAAATTTGATGCAAGCTTACTTAACTACCTTGCTGTAAGGGGACATTTTGTTGCTGGCACCAAATTTTCTACATGTTTGCACTGCAATTTTGCACAGCAAGCTTCCTGTTAATTGGGAACATTAACCCCTTAACTGTGAGGTATACGTCTACAGACGTACTTTCCAAAGTGGGCCCTTACTGTTACACTCTAAATCTGAATCAGTGAAATTTTCACTGATTCAGATTTAGAGTGTAGACTATACTACACTTACACGTACCTACTTACAAAAAACTTTTTAAAAAAATTAAAATTAGCAGATATACATCATAACGACGTTATTTAAGGTATTTTGAACGCTGAATCTGAATTTGGGGTGGAATTTTGGGGTGAGTACTTTAACCACGAAATATTGTTAGCTTTTTTTCAAAAACTGAACACTGAGAAAAAAAATTTAGTGCTTGCAACAAAATTGTTTGGTTACGCAATTTTGGTCCTTGTAACCAAATTTTGGTTGGCTGAAACAAAGTCGTAGAGTTATCTCAACCAAACATTTGGTTAGGCCAACAAAATTATTTGGTTCAACATTTTTAAATTCCAATCAAAATTTGGTTACGACAACAAAATAATTTGGTTAACACAACCACGGTGTTCTAGAAGCGAAGATAGGTTTCACAAAAATGCGAATAAAAACGGTTTGTGTAGCGTGTTTTGTACATATTTATAGGTTAAAAATCCATTTGAAATAAAGTCCTACCTGTTCCCGTTTTGGAGAAATCCATTAAAAACGTATTTTTCACAGAATATTGTAGGGTATTATTTTAATCCTAAAATGGATTAAAATAAGATACAACTCTTTTACCCGCCGTGGATAATAATAATCCATCGAAAGATTAAAATTTAAGTTAGGATGAAAAATAATTGAAATATTTATATATAAATTTTGGTATTATTTTAATCTGCAACGTTTTTTAATACCTTTTAGTTTACTGTGTTTTTTGATAAGAAATAAAATTCTTATAAGAAAGAAAGACAAATTGTAGGAAAATTATATTTATATATTTATATTCTTACATAATATTTTTTTTAATTTTTATATATAATCTTTTTATGTTTTTCTTCTTCTTTCTTCTTAAACTTATAGATTTCAAACCTTCGTTTTAGGTCTGCAAAAAATATATACTTTGTAATATTAAACAATTATTAATACAATTATTCTGTAGAAATACAATTCGCATTTAACCAAACAAACTGTCAACACATTATTTATCAGTGAGATTGACATGCCCAGGAAATAAAAACCTATTCAATATTTTTGAATCGGTCGGAGGCTGAGTTGAATCCGCATTTTTAAAAAGATATCTCATATTGACTCCGATTCAAATCATTTACATTTTTCAAACTTGTCTTCATCATTACCTGTTAGTTGAGAGACAGTGATATGTATCTTTTCAATTTTAAAAGCATTAAGCAAATCTTACTCTCCAGTGTATAATTTATTTACAAAGCTCGTTTATTAAAAATTATTAAATTTTGTGCGGAATATGACAACAAAAACCTGAAATTTTTCTATCCGATTCAAAATTATCAAAATATTACATTCCGATTGAAAACATTAATAATGAATCCACATTCTTAAAATATCTGATTCACTAAAAGGTGCATTTAATAAGCTTTTATTCCTGGGTGGCAACTATCTAATTACAAAAAAATTTATCCTGTTTCCTACTTTATGAAATGAAAACAATTTTATTCTTTATCAAATAAAAAAACGTTTTCAATGTATTTCTCCAAAACGGGAACAGGTAGAATTTCATTTCAAATAGATTTTTAACCTATAAATATGTACAAAACATGCTACACAATCCGTTTTTATCCGCATTTTTGTGAAACCTATTTTCGCTTCTAGAGCACCGTGCAACAAAATAGTTTGGTCTAAAAAACCAAATGATAGTTTGTTGTTCTAACCAAAATTTGGTTGCGACAACCAAATAATTTAATTTGCTCTCAGCTCATAACTTAAGAGAACAGTTAGTTTAAATCTTTCACAAGAATGGGTAGTCCAGTGGTCAGAGCTTCCGACCTTCAGTTTTAAACAGAGGTTCGATCCCAGGCGGAGATGAGATTTTTCAAAGTCCACAAATATTTCAATTGGTTAAATATAAATTCAATGTAAAATTGATAATAAATAAATAATAAATTAAATAAAAAAGATAAAAAGAAAAGAAATAAGGTAAAATACAATTTTTAATTTTACAAAAAAACTGTTTGTTTGATCAACCAAACATTTTTGTTAACATAACAAAAAAAATTTGGTTGAGCTAACCAAACATTTTTGTTAACATAACAAAAAAAATTTGGTTGAGCTAACCAAACATTTTTGTTAACATAACAAAAAAAATTTGGTTGAGCTAACCAAACATTTTTGTTATGCCAACAAAAAACACTCAACCAAATTTTTTGGTTGACTCAAACAAATAGTTTGGTTGCTTAAATACCAACAAAATTTTTTTGTTGGCCCAACCAAATTTTGGTTGCTCTGACTAAACATTTTTCTCAGTGTATAAAAATCTTTATTCCAATTCTTCTAAAATTAGATTATTTCTAAAATTTTTATCTAAAATAAAATATAATAAAAAGCATAAAAATTGATGGAAAATCCGACACTCTTAACCCTACATTTTCTAACTATTTTCAAGTGTTTTATAATAATTTTTTGATAATATATCAACCTTTGGATATTTGACATAACCATTCCTTATCATATTTGGAACTCCTCCATAAAATTTCAACTCAATTCATTCAATCAAGATCTTAGAAAATTTAAAAGTAGGTTACGGTGTCGTATCCGGCGTAGGAATTTTCAATAGGGTCGAGAAATCGAGAAAAACTTTATGAGTTTTGTTCCTATGCCAAAGGGTTGATATCTTACATGGGGGTTTTTATCTAGGGGTAGTGTCTTAGATTATATCTATTTGGAGAAATACAAATTTCATTTGGAACAATGCTACATATTAACCGAGACTTGGAAGAAATCTTGACATTATGTAGGTCAGTATTTGATCCAAAGAGTAAACATAAAAATAGGTCCTTTTATGTAAATTAGATAATTTGTTTAAATTTTTTAAAAATTGTTATTAAAACAAATCTAATCGTGATAGAGAAAAACGGGCTACGGATTCAGATTCAGCAACCAAAAATGCTTTAGGAATGTATAGTCCGGTTCACTGAGTCAAAAAAAAAATTTTTGTGGTCCTGTAGAATTATTCAATTACAGGGTTCTTACAAAACCTGAAAAACTTCAAAAAAATTCTGGAATTTTTTGAAATGTCTTAACATTTCATTTAACAAATTTTAAATGAAAATTAATTTTTTAAGTTATAAAATTTGAGACTATAGTAAAATCCTGCAATTTCAAATTAAAATTTTATTTCTTCCTTAAAATTTTTGTACCCCGACTTGGAAATAAATTTTTCGCGCAACGTCAATAATTATTTTTGTCTTTCAAACTTTCAGGACTGTTTCATTAAATCAAATATATTAACAAAATTCTTTTTAATTATAATGGAAATTATGTTACTAAATATTATTTATTTATAAAAATTAGGAAATTCTATTAGATTAATTTATTAATAAACTGAATATATAACTGCAAATAAAATTGTTCTTACTATTTTTCACGTATTTCATGATATTTTTCACCTCCAACCGAAACCCAACCGAATCCGAACTGAACTGGGTTACATTTCAGTTTCCACAATCCGCCAGAGAAAATATTTCAATGTTTTGTAGTCTTAATAGAATGCCTATACGGAGATAAAGAAAGAGCTTCAAGAAGACTACAAACATTTTAACTTAAATTTAAATCTATAAAACTTAAAAAATACAGTAGAGCCTTCAATGTGCATGTTTGCCTGAAATTTACCAATTTTCGAATCTTGAATATGCACTGAAAATTGCCTTGCCACACTAGCGTCACCGTGTACGTTGACAGATATTAGAAATATATCTAGTGTACACATAGAAAACGTGCATGTATAATCTCTACTATATTTTACTATGGTTGTCGATATATAGTATAAAATATGACTTTTCTTGTTACCTCGTTACTTCGTGGTTCGGCGTGAATAAAAAATTCCCACAAAATTTGTAATTTGCTGCTCAGTCTAGTAGCCATTGCTGCAAAATCCTGCAACACAATTTAGATTTGATTATTTCCTGCATATATACATGGTAAAAATATTTTAAAAAATTTTCAATTAAAAAAAATTAATAATCCTGCAGCCGAAACATAAAAGTTACAGAAACACATGTCTGGCAGGCCAGTTGTGGAACAAAGGGTGGCGATATGGGGGAAGAGGTAAAAAATTAATGTTACTCTATCTTCTTTCATACAGATTAAAACATTTAGAAATCGAAAGTTTACATCCAAATATAGGTAAAAATGATCGTATGTCAGTCCTGAACTAGGACAAACTACGTTCCCGGCCAGAAACGACGTCAACTGCTTTGTAAAATTTGCATCGATAAGCCTAATCGATTCAATGTAAATTCCATGTAAATACGTAAACTTTACAGCACCAAAGCATCGGACCATGATGAGACTTATAATTAAGGAATTTACTCAAACCTACAGAATAATTACTAATAAAAACCCTTAAAAAAGGCGACTTTAACATAACAAAAAATTTTGGCACCAAGTTTCCAAAAATAACTTTTATGCTTTACTCAAATTTCAAAAAAATAATAAAACGACAAAGTTATTACTTCCAAAATAAATTTTGAACAAATATAACTATTTGTTTTTATTTTTAAAAAAAGCAAACAATACTAAAGATAACAAAAACAAAAAATTAAGTTTTCTATTCAAAAAATTAACCCTCTACCAAAGAAAGATTTATAGGTTCAATGAAAATTACTAACTAAATACATTACTACAACAGGAAAAGGGTTAAATATTCATTTTTTGAATTTCTACACCTCCATATTGAGAGAATATTTCAGTGCAATATTCAGGAAATACAAAGAAAATATTTAAGGGGACGCCTAAGTCATCTCAAATCAATGCAAGAAGAGCTATTTTTCGATACACGTTTCTCAAAAACTATTTAATTTATGGTCTCGGGTCGGGTCTTGTTGCATTCAATTACAGATATAGTCAAGTATTCAATCAAATAATTAGAAGACTTCAGGTTAACAACTGTAAGGAATAATTATATTAGTCGTGGGGACCCGATGTGTGAAGGGTCTTGAATGCTGAATAATCGTAAATAATCGGAAAAATATACGAAAACGCCCGGCACGTTGTATGCGCCAGACCGCGTGTCTGCTGGAACGCAGCGATTTTACCAGCTAACTTTTCGGAGCTCAAGCGGGCTTGCAATGTGCCAGATCTTACACTTACACATTTTCTAGACCCAATTCCTGCTCTGGTCTGACAATCGTCTAGATTTTATTGATTTTAATTTACAAAATCAAATAAAAAATAGATAATAGGTTTAAAATAATGTATAAATTTAATGTTTATTTAAATTTATGTGATCAGTTTTTAGCGATTTTTAATAGAAAATAATATAAAAAATAAGAATAGGGGATAAATAAATGTATTAAATTATGATATTCATAAATTTTTTCATCTATTATTTTTGTTTTTTTTAATAAGATACATATATCTGAAATTATTTTCACTAATCTTATCTTTAAATTCATAAATTTGTTAAAATTTTTATAGAAATGTTGAATTTTTTTATCGAATTACTGATAATTTTATACCCCATGTAGAAATTTTGACATAACTCGGATCGGATGATAATGCAACGCCGGGCCCGATTTGGTCCTGATTAGGAAATCCACATTTTCTCGTGACCCTAATCTGCCCCTGATCGGGGCCATATTATTATTCACTACCAGGGCCTTGGTAGGGAAATTTAGTGTTTCTGACCGAGGCTCGTTCGCGTTGCGCATGCGCTGTACTGCGCGAGACATGTACGAGTCGTGTTTACTTGTGTCAAGAAGACCAGAAATCTTGTGTAATCTGTCAGAATTTCAATTTTTTCCGAGATTAATTTCACGCAAGTGAATCCATAAGGTAAGGAAATTATAATATTATTAGTATGTTAGTATATAATATTAAAGTACTTTTATGTGCGTCATGTTTGTGAATGTAACAAAACTTTTGATCTTCCGCTATAAAGAAATATTTATCTTACTCGCAAATATTATAGGTTATGGTGATGATAATTTTATTAGTTTAAATTCCATTTTAATCATATAAAATTAGAAACAATTTTTAAATTAATATTTATAATATTATTTAACATTTAATATTCTTCCATTCTTACTTTAAACCGCTTAAAGTTGTGTTAAATGATTTTAAGGAATTTTTTCAGAAATTTTTCTTTTTTATAATTTCATGTGAATTTAATATATATATTCAATAAAAATTGATGTTACTCATCAATTCTTATTAAATATTTTGGATGTGATTATTTTATGTGATTAAAAATTTACTTGTCATCAAAATAAAACTAACACAAACATAACCTCGAAATTATTTGCTTACATAGATATCTTTCTTGGGAGTCCCCCCACAAATAATGAGTTTACAGTTATCTTAAATATAATTTTCTATATATTTGTAGGAAAAGATTAGATGTATAAAATATTGAACCTGAAATGACAGATCATATAGCAAATGACGATGGTTCTTTTTGGGAAAAAATATACGTTGCAACCGGAGTCATTGTCAAACCGTGGATCAAAAACATTTTGCGATTCCAGAGCTGGGACAATGCAGTGTCATTTGGAAGTATGACTGAAAATAACATAGAAGCTGCAGAAAAATTTGCTAGAGAAGAAATGGGAAATTTCCTAGACGACGATTCAGATCCGAAAGACTATTTATGGGATCCATTTCAAGAACCCATCCAATTTCAGATTCATGGAAGGAGAGAAAATTTTACTGAAGAAGTTAGTCGAGGTTGTGAAAAATAAAGACATCGAGTTTTGGGCACAAAATTCTACTCGCATCATTCCTGATTCTGCAGTGAAAGACAATTTCAATCTTAAGGATGAAAAAAGCAAATTGAAAAGATCGATTTCAACGACTATTACGACTTTTCAGAAGAAAGCACGTTTCATGGATGAAAAAATGGATTTAATTTTGGATGACATTATTGATATTAACGTGAGTGCAGGCTATGAAGATGCGTCTCAACAGGCAGTCGAATATACAGCTCTCATTCAATGCCCACTTTACGTTCATAAAATCAGTTTAAAAAAGACCAATGTAGGAAACAAATCCGCTAATTGGTCGAGTTCAAGCTTCATGCGACACTTGAAAGTTCATTCCAAGTAGGAGCAAACTGATTCTTCGACGACTACGAAAGAACACGATGAGGTATATCTGATTATACTATCATATTATAAATTTAATAATTATATGACACCAATATAGTTTTTAAATTCGATTTGTAATATAAAATTTTTTGTTCATATAGACGACAGAACAATATAAACATAAACATAAACAAGTTGTAAATTCAGATGTTCATTACATGAACATTTTGCTTCCTCTTTACGATCAGCAAAAAAATTTGCTTCCTCGTGGAGAAAGCAAAATTTTATTGCCAAAATGTGATTTTGATTTTTTAACTTTCATTAATTCTTTAAATTTACCTCAAATGTATACTTTATATATATCGATCGATTCGTCTTGACGTAAGGAATACAATTATTTCATATATAAACTTCAATTTAAAAAATCACAAAATATTATAGCCAAAATGTGAATTTTTGATTTTTTAACTTTCATTAATTCTTTAAATTTAAATTAAAACTATACCTTATATATACCGATCGATTTTTCTTGACGTACGGAATACGATTTTATTATATATAACCTTAAATTTTTCTATTTAAAAATTTTTTCGATTAAAAAAAATTTTTTGGAAAAAGACGATAAAATTGTTTTTTTGGGGTATTTTTTAAAATCCTTTGGTCAGATTTGAGATATTAATATGATAAATGAGCCTACCAAATTTTATCTAAATCCATTAAAACCTGTTAAAGTTATCGTCTAAACAAAAAGGGATCCACACACACACATACACACATACATACATCCGGACAATTGATCAGGATCTCATATAACATGTTTCTATAAAGAAAAAAATTTGTTTCCGCCACTTTGAAAAGTTTTATAAACAAAAGGACTACAAAGCTTCCTCCAGGAGGAAGCAAAATCAAAGAATTTAAGAAGTTGAGAAACTTATTGCTACTGATAAGAATATTTTTTTTATATAAAATATATTTTTTTATTTTTTTTATAATTTATATAAAAATAAATAATTTCAATATTTAAATTATTGATATGCACACATTTTTTTCTGATATTATTTAGAACTTAAAATTATCCTATATTATTAATATTAAAAAAAAATATTTTTGATTATTTAAAACGTTTTATTTTTTACAAAAATTAAATTTTTTAAATACGTACAACTGATTGTTCGAATTCATTAAAAACTTTTTTAAAAATTTGACACTGGAAAATAAGAAAAAATTTGTAAAATTAAAATTAATCAACATTTTCTTTGCTTAAGAGTTATCATTTATTTACATTTTTTCAGAATCTGATATCATTCTATTATAAAAATTAATTTATACCTTTAAAAATGAATTATTTTACAATTTTTTTTATTTTCTTGAAATTGTACTTTTTTAAAAATTCGTACGATTCATTTTTTTGAATCATGATATAATATCAATGATATATCATCAATAATCATGATAGTATTTGATTATTATATTATTCGCTTAATAAATATAAAAATATATTATTGTTAAAGTTTAATATGAAATTTTAATTATCAGGTTATCAACACCTTTCAACAAAACAACGGAAACGAAGGCAATAACCTCAATAATTGTGTCACCATAATCTCTGGACACTCCTCGGGAGACACAGCTGGATTCACGCCTGAATTGGCACCTATAAATCAAACATCTGATCTCCTCACAGAATCAACAAATATGACAACGCTTTTAGAAGACGCTGTGAACTCTTCTGTCTCCACCCATCATGTTTTATAGCAATCAACTAACAACAAACATGCAAAACCATCTCAAGGCAAAAAATCTACTCTCTTAAATTTATTAATTAGATCTCGGAAAAATCAAGATGAAATA